AAACCGGCGCAAGCGCTATCTGGACATGCACCCGGAGTATTTCTCTGCTGATCTCGAGCTAGCCGGTCCGCTCGCTCTGTCTCCTTTAGACTGATTGGTGTCACATTCAGTCGCTCTGTCTATGACAGGGGATGTTTAAGCCAAGCTAATATGCCAGCCCTGCAGACCCGTTGCTGTATGATCGCTTAATCCGTCGATTCCAGACTCCAGCCGAGAGGGAGGCCGAAGGACGTGCCAAAGGCTTCTCAGGTGTGCTGCAAGCGGACCTATGTAGATCCGAGGCCAAGTTCGAGGCTCTTTCCCATCCTGATCCTCACGCCATGTTCAGCTATACTCGTGGACCCAACGGAGAGATTCTCGCGGAAGATCGAGACGAAATTCCCCCGAATAAGGAAGAAGGGGAGAAGGCGTGGCGATGGGAGATGACCTTGCGGTTCCTAAGGGGTGAAGACGGCGATTTCGATTATACCTCGGTTGATGACAATGACGAGTACGATGATTGGAACGTCGAGCAGGAAAAATACTTTGACGATGAGGAACCAGAGTGGCTTGTTGAAGGAGTAGATGATGGAGAAGTCAAGTCCCATCTACAAGGCGAAACTGGTATTCAGGATTTCTGATGGTCAAATCAGGACTCCGATATTGCTCATCCGGGTGTTGTGGCTTGCCTCGGAATTCTGGTGGCTATTTACGCTCAGCGTTCTAGTTATGCGCTTACCTGCAGGTCCTCAGCCATTCAACTGCTTTGCGGTTTTGGCTTCCGAGCGGAAGTTTTTGCTGCACTTGTTTGCAGTCTGTTCTCGCTGAATGGGTAAACCCCATGTCCATAGCACACGAACTGTCATAAATGAGCAAGGGAAATGCCTCAAAGCTCTTGCTTTGGCAGGCTTGTCACCCTCATGCCACAATGAGAATGCAATGCTCTTTGCTATACATTGGTTTAGCGATGATGAAATTGCATTCCGTGGACATACCTATGGAACAAAGCAACTATATCCAAGATGGAACAATACTGGATGCGTTGGCGATGTCACGTGCCATCTAGTCAGCATCCTTACTGCTTCACAGAACCAGCATCTCGATGACTCAGTCCTCCAATGGCCTCTTGAGAGGTTCCAACAATGATGTCGGTTATTGCTCATACGTTGACCATTTGTGCTGTAGACGCAGGAACAGCATGGTCAAGTGGTGGCGCCATGTGCCTTAGTCCAGTTCAATGTATTTTGGGAAGTCGGGGGAGGCTGGAACATCAGACTGGCGGCTGGACTCCTCTAAGTAGTGTTAACGCTCGTCTATAGCATCAACAGAGCCAACCTTCGTTGAATCTAGTTCTTCCTAAAGTAGCTTTGCCTCGGTCATTCAATACTCAGCATAGACTCGCTTCCCTGAAGCCATTCAATTTCATCAATTAGCACCTGGTGAATTTTCTATATCCATACTCTATATCTGTATCTATATCCATTCTGTATGATTTAGAAGAACATAGGCGTCTACATCATCTCCGAGGTTTTGCCTGTGGCCTCCATGGCTCTGGAGCGATGACGCTCCAGGCTGGTGTTGCTGATGGCATCGCTTGCCCTGCCATAGTCATGTCATGATGTCGTGAGAAAACTCGTCTAAGTGCAAGTATGACATGACTCTACTGCCTAGATGCCGTTTCCTTCCCACAGAAACTCCCCCGTCGCCAACATCCTCCTTTCCATCGTTCAACTCTTGTTCTGCAAAGTACTGTTGGCTCTAGCTATAGCAGGACATAGCTCTATAAGCCCAACTTAGCTTTGTAACTATTGCAGTCGATCATTTGCTATGTTGGCTGCAAATCTTGCTCCTCCACTCCCTTCTCCATCCTTTTCCCTTTATTTCTCGTTGTGACCTACACAACGATATCTTAGCGGATATACCTTGCTCCAAGGTATATCCCATCGTGGACCGAATAAAGGTCCACTCGTCTCAACAGACTCGTATCGATACAAATACGATGTCTTCCACTGCTTCTTCCTCTTCCTCCTCGAGCATCGACCACAGTGTCGGCTCCAGCGAGCTGGATGATCGCCTTGGGAAGTTGATCATGCCATGCTCCAAGCCCACTCCTAGCCAAAGCAGCGACTACCAAGCTGTGGAGGTCCCCGACGACTTCGACACGAGCCTAACCTCCGAAGCATCCAATAGTATGCATGTGCTCGAGGAAATGAAAGCCTATAAGATGAAGGAAGCCTTCTACAGTAGCAAAGGCGAGGTTCTTGGCAGAGGAGCCTACGCACAGGTCCGCGTCGTCTATAAGCGCAACAGCGAAGACAGGACATCTCGTTATGTTGCCAAGGAGTTCTTCGAGAGGAAGTATGCCCCATACGATGTTTTCGTGCGTGATATTCGTAAAGAATTCATCGTCGCTCGTCATGCTTGTCATCCAAATGTCGTCAAAACTGTTGACCTTTGCATCAAGGAGAGGCAGTGTAGCATTGTCATGGAATACTGCAGCCAGGGTGACCTCTTAGATGTCCTTTCGATCGGTCGGGTAAGCACCACTGGCAAATTATGCCTGTTCAAGCAGCTTTTACGTGGTGTATCCTACCTTCATAACCATGACATCGCCCATCGAGACCTGAAGCCAGAGAACCTGCTCCTCACGGAAAAGGGGGTTCTCAAGATAACCGACTTTGGTTTCGCCGTGGTCTTCAGGGACCCCGAGATAAATCCCGATAGAGTCCGCCAGTGTTCGAACAAAAACATATGCGGTACCGAACCCTATCTGCCACATGAGCTATGGTACAGTAGTTACTATGACCCTCGCCGGCTTGATGTATGGGCCTGTGCCTTGATCGGACGATACTTGTTCAATCATAGCATGGCCTGGGAGGTCGCCGACGTTAAAAAAGACAGACAGTTCCAAAGCTTTGTACTTACCTGGATGGAATTTCGTGAAAGCCGTTGTGCCAGCCTTATTGAATGGGCTGATACCCATGAATGGCAGCCAGGTTTTGGGCCTGCAGACTACCCTAGCGTTCAGATATGGTCTTTGATACGCATGATGCTGCACATTAACCCCGAGAAAAGGCTCACCATCGACGAAGCCATGAGTAGTCCCTGCATTCAAGCTATTGATTGCTGTTCTCCGCCGGGGCTTGAAACAGATTCTACAGACTCTCCCTCTCCTTCTGATACTCATCATCATTGTCAAGGCTCCCAGGGGCTGTCACCACCACGGCACTCATCAGACGCGGACACCAGGACAACCAAGTCATGTGACATCAATAGGCGAGTATATTCAAGTGAGTAGTGAATAACTCACTAAGATCCAATATATCTCGGGTTGATGGTCCTCGAATCAATCCTTTAGTTGAGAAGATATTCTCAGCTTACTACACACGTTGAACCGCGGTGCAATGATAATACTGCGGTTCATCCTCTAAAGAATTAGGCCCCAAACTATCGGCGCAACAGGCTTCAACGACACTACCAAGTCAACAAACTGATATCTAAGGTTATCTACGTTGATGCTTCTAACCCGATTATTCACAACAAGCCGACTGCTATTGTCGTGCCGCTATTTTTGGATAAGATGTCCACTTCGCCGCTGTGTGTCAACAGAATTACTCTGATATGATGACTTCAGTGACTACGCCTGGATGGGACGAGTCTCTCGAATGACTAACTCGAAATAAGAAGATCTAGAGGGCTAATGCGAGCAAGGAAGCAGTAGATATTCGGATGATGTTCCGATATCCTCCTGTCAATTTAGAATACAGGAGACCTGAACAATATCTAGAATCTAACTAGTATAACTATCTATTCATCAATATTGCTCACTTCTATCCTTTCGTCTGCGTGACAATGATGCTTTCTTACTATCAAGCCGCGTTCTAACTCTGGGAGGCTCTCAGGCACGTAAAGGCCACCGAGAAGACTTGAATATGGTACTATATTACTACTTCATCTATTTGTAAGAGAAGACACAAAACTTGAACCTCATATTATTAAACAAATGCCCTGAACGACAAGAAACACATACCACGAGACTCTAGTAGCTCAGAGAATCAAAGCCAGAAGGTATCATGCTACCAATTCCAAAATTGACGGGTCTCTCAGATTCGTCGAACAGAACTGGGACATTCATTAAATGAGTATAAAGCCTGCGCTCTGCCTATTCTACTTTCATACATGAGCCCTTTTCTATTACCCCATGCTGGTGCAGGCAGACTTCTGCTACTTGGTCATTGATTTATTTGGTTCGGACCCGGTAGGGGCTCATCTACCTGTCCACTTAGCGCTCTATTTGTGGTTACTACCTAACATGTGTCCTCGATATCAAGACAGTTTACGAGATTTGTGATATGCGGTTCAGGATGAATGGATGTATTTTCCAGCCTGGGTTCCCTTTCCATTCTTTTGATGTGACTTTGAATATCAGGATCGTTATACGATATTTGGGGCTGTATTAGCCATGTACGAACACCGATGCGAGGATCTGAAGCCCCACGCCGGGGATGCGGCCAAAGGCGCTGGTGTTGAGCATGGTTAGCGGGTTGGCATACCGAATCTATTCGGTTTGCACTAGATACGTACCAAATTGTGATCTTATGGTATTCTTACTTTTACTGTTGTCAAAACAATTATACTAATTGTGGTCTCACTGACGGAGTCTGTCTCCTGTCAGGGAAGTAGATTCTATACGGAACAGGCGATTAGTGGCCAAGTCATCCATCCTTTTGTGAATAGAGGCTCGGCTAATTAAATAACAGAGCTTCGTATTTATTCCGGATACAATTATTGATTGTCAATCTCTCTGATCTTCATTCTGTATATAGAACCGTCAAGTCTCCGGATGTCATCGAGAACCAATTTTACTTTGAACTACAACATGTGCTTATGCCTTATAGATTACTCGTATATCTCTTCAATGATGACAATCTAGATAGGAAATATTCATACTTGGCACTATTCAACTAGAAACGCCTGTCTTCGGCTTAGCCGCCGATCCGCTTATAGGTCTCCTTATTCAATCAGGATGTCGCACCATGCTGACGAAGTAGCTCGGCCACTTCAGCTCTGCCATTCTCCAATGCCTTAACCTCCTCAGCCACACCCTCATCCGTGGAACAATATGTCTTGAACTTCTCGATCTCTTCCTCCGTGACAGCTGTTTGAGCAGCCTGCAGAGCGGTAGCAAGGCCCGCTCTTTCCAGCCGGATATTCACGTCCGCTCCAGCCTCAATTAAGCGCTTCGCCGAATCCCTAAGTCCAAAGAACGCAGCAGCAATCAGAGGAGTCGCGTATTTTGCCTCGGGGTGGGTCTGGTTCACTTCTGCACCGGCCTCGATCAGAAATTCAAGCTTTTCAATGTCATACTCAGACATCGCAGCCTTGGTGATTGCATTGCCGTAGTCTTGCTTCTTCAGTGGCTGATTAACATCTGCTTTTGCGTCTATAAAGGCCTTGAGAATGTCAAGATCCCATCCATCAATTGCTGCTTCAAAGGCATTGGTGTACTTTCCGGATTGTAGTGGCATGTTGGCATCGGCCCCTGCATCCATCAGTGTTCTCACAATATCCGATAAGTTGCGGGAGGCTGCGGCCGCAAGGGCACTTCCATAATCACCACGACATAGGAGTATGACATATTCACGTCGGCTGCGGATTCCACTAAACAGCGGACGGCTGCAGTTCGTCCTTTATGTGCTGCTGCAACAAAAGCACTTTCGTAGTCAATGTTATCTCCCTCAGTGGCTATCCGGAAGTTGACATCGACACCCTTGGCGATCAAGTGCTGGCATATCGGCACACTACCCCCTATGGCGGCAACTGTGAGAAGGTCGTGGCCCCGTTGGTTCAGACGGGAGATATTGATATCTCTGTTTTGCCACCATCCCCACAGAATCTTATCAAATGCGAAGCGACACATGGCGAAAACGGCGGCATCTTCTGGCTCTAGTTCGCTCCCCTAAATATACCCAATTTTCATATAGAGAAGTTCTTGAATAGGGCGGTAGTAGTTGAAGGTATTGCTATCGAAGCCAGAGATGTCCCAGCCAGTTGATTTGTCAAGAAGGGGCTTCATGCTCGCATCAAGCCGCACTTGCCTGTACCATGTCCGATATTGTACACTGCTGTCATCAGGAGCCCCGAGGAAGGTCTTCAAAAGGGATGCCACCGTGCTTTCTTCGGAACAGCCAGATCATCCGTGCACGTGGACGACCCAGTAGTGTCTAATGTAGATGTGAAATGGGTTCCGTATGTCGATGATGTCGAACTTTCCATCTGGAATGGACTCTTCGCTCCGCCAGAAATTCTGCAGCTCTTCATGAGGCACAGTTTCCAGATCATCCTCGTAAACGTTGATGAAAAATGAGAGACAAGCAGTAGCGGCATGGCAATGTGCCTGAGGGAGGGTCCAATTGTGCCTGCTTTCCAGATATTCTGTGACCGAAGCATGTGAGAAACGCCACACTCCCATCTTTGAATCAATCACAAGGAAGTTGTTACAAAGTGATAGCAAGCCTTGCTCGTCAATTTCATCAGCCAGAAATTCTTCGTCATCTTTCGATCCTACACGGATCGCAGATAGGAGCATATTGGTCTTCATGGGCTTGTGTGCGGCCGTTACCCATGTCAACGCGCGTTTAGTGAGGGTCTTGTCTGGCTCCTCTAAGGCTTCAATCTCATTCCATATCTCATCATATGCCTTCTGAAGATCCTCTGGAAGGTTTTCGAGCCGCTTCCAAGCGCTTGATTCAGTTCTACATCTGAAAATTTGGTGAACCTGCAACGACGCCCATTGAAACTTAACGAGCATTAGCAACCTAGTACTAAGATGGGTGATCCCGGAATCTTACATTCCCTGGCAACCTTCCAGAAGCTTAGCAATGATCTTTGCCTTCATCCGGCCAATGAAGGCGGTCTTTCTGGCGAGGTTGTCCAGTTGTATTTCGAGAAATTTCTGAATGTCGGCTTGATTGTGACTTGCTTGAATAGCGACACTGGTACTCCCCACCAATAGAGCCTGGATATCCGGATCAGGTCGACTTGAGATGAATATTTTGACGGTATTGTTCGTTTCAGACACAAGAGTGTTCAGCGCATCAATTATTATATCGCGAGATTCTGGGTCACATTCGTCGAGAGCGTCAATCACCAGCGTAGTCTTCGGGTACACTTTCAAAGACTCAGCAATTAGTTCCTTGCAGGTTTCGAAGCTGAGCTTTGATCCGCTTTCTCGAGCCTTCGAGCATGCCTCCTTCAACTCAGTCTGGATTGATTCGGGACTGGCCGGGGTAGTGGAAAGTTGGCGCACATAGCTTCGGAAAACAGACAGTGCCTTTCCACGATCCTCTTCATTCCTGTTGCAGTAAACGAAGGCGAAACCCTCATCTTTGGGAGGGTCGCTCAGCATGCTCTGATAAAGATCAATGACTCGCGATGTAAGGTACGTCTTTCCCGTACCGGCTAGCTTTGCTTTAGTATGGAAGAACAGATAGTGAGTGTGCTGAAGACTTACGAGATCCTTGAAGCCAGAAAATACCAGATGAGCTGGCTTCTTCCCAACTACAGAAATCACTGTCTTGTAGCAGCCATTCACCCGTTTCGGGTGTCCTCCCCTCTTTCACGTTGCCATGATGGTCGCCAAACGGCACCGACGAAATCCATTCCAGCAATGCAATGCGCCCTTCCTTCTCCATCCCTTCAAGAAGAGTCTGTACATTCTTATCCACTCGTGTTAATGGAGCATTCAGAGCGTCAAGCATCCCGATCATTCGATCATCTGCTGCTGCACTGCGTCGAGTCTCACACGCTTGGACATCACGAAGAAGCTCATCTTCTTGCTGTGCAAGAGCTGAGAGGCCGCTGGAAACATTTCCCGGGTTCAGGATCGCATCAAGGGTCCTATGAGCAGTATTCTTAGAGAAGAGACCGCCCGAATCTGCTAGAAGCTCCAACGAGGTAGTGTAGATCCTCAATAAGGCATCCTGCAGACCCTTCGATAGTTTATCTTCGGGTGAACCGGGGACATTTGACAAGTACACTTGTTCATAGACTTGTCCCCGACTGACGATGCGAACAATTCTCTCAGTGGCTCCTAGCAAGGCAGCCATCTGTTCCCCTTCAATGACGGGGACCTGATTATTGTGAGTTTTGCATGTACAATCGAATAGATAAACTCCTGTGAAGCACTTACCTGCATGAGGGACTTGATAACAGACCATGGCATACTAGCTTGCGGCGGTGCGAACTGAATTGCAATATCACCGGCTTTCTGCACCCAACCGACGGTCTTCGTTGTATAGTTCCGCAGGACGATGTCGTTATCTCCAACTGAGACACGCCAGAATTTCTTTTCACACTCTTCCTGCTTCTAATTGACAGCCTCCACGAGATCGTCGATACCAGTCTCGACCGATTCCCCCGAGCCGATCTTTCCGAAGCCCATGCTCTTCAGTTGAGTCTGCTTCGCAGCGGGCAGTTTCTGGAGGGCGTCCCACCAGAGATCTTTTGCAAAAGCATTTGGCTGTGGCGCAGGCTGTGGGTCGGCGTGCGACGAATTTGCGGCTTTCCTGGTTGGGAGTTTCTTCTCTTCTTCGAGTCCGGGGGAAGATACCTTCGCATCAGCTGCCTTCGGCAACTCCTAGATGAATATGTGAGCTTTACGCAACAACACGACATATCTCTCTTTGATACTCACAGGTGCATCGGCAGCATGGCTTTTTTTCTTGTGATGGTGTAGCTTCTTCTTTAGCTTGTCAAACATTTCGCCTTCAGTCTGGTCAATCTGCTGTTCGTGTATGGGGGTTGTCAGATAATTGCTCGCAGAGAAAAACGATGTAAGTAGGACATGGAAAGACACAACCCCAGTTCAGCTGGTAATGTATACATGCATAAACTTCCGTTGTTCTGGGAAGTGATATGCGGTTTCTCTACAGCACAGACTCAATCGTGGGACCCACCACTCATTACAAACAAACTGTAAATCGATGGTGTGTGCAGTGTCTCATCTGGTAGGTGCGATCTATTCACCTGAGTCGCTGCTGATCTTTCATTCCAGATACCGATGTTCGAGATCTGAAGTACCTCGTCCGCTTCACAAAGCACCTCGGCAATGCCGGCCAATGCATGATTAAATGCCACCTGACGCACATATCGAGCATCTTCCTTGACATTATGGCACTGCAGCCCTTTTTAGTGTGGATAATCCAATGCTTATATCTCCGACCGTTGCATTATACATGGAAAATTGCACGAGCTCTGCTGTTCAGGGGTAGTGAGTTATGTGAATCTGTGCGCAAGCTCAGCTGAATTGAACAGGCCTTGCGTGTATTTTGACTGAATCCGATTGCGTGAAGTTTGTTGATTGGCCAAGCATGCAGCAAGGTGCATACCTAGCATGCTGTACCCGCGGGATGATCCCACAGTGGCTGGCTGGACACTGGATCCAAGCGAGCATTGCTAGTTCATGCATGCTGATACGTTCCAAGTAGGGTAATTGCACATCCCAGTTCGACTGCCCGACCAGAGAGGCTTTTCTGTCATCTCCACGTCCAGGAATGGCCGGGGACAACCAATTAAGTATATTGATTCTCATTTCTCACTTATTGATGATACAATCCTGCACATTCTTCAAAGAAGTGGCATCCCTGAGCTTCTGATAAGATAACTCTATTACAAGTAATTTATCTGTGAAAGGCGTACCATATTACTCCTTCGCATACCAGCACTGCCTGTGGGGACGGGTTGCGATCGTAACGAACCTAGTGGACTACTAGTATATCCGACGACGGATAATGACGGAACGGACCCAGAGACTCTCTCGAACGACACAGCGAGGCAGTCTTCTTAGAGACCTGGAGGCAGAAGCCCAGTAATTAAAAGTGCTCCGCGGCCCCGCGTGTCCGACAACAGGATCAGGAGAAGTAGTGAAGCCGGACGTGACAGACGAGCTCTGGCAGAGCTCGGAAAAGCCGGGACAGCAACTCGGACATAAGTATGACAAGCCACGCCAATCTAAGAAGTAGAATGGCGACCCACTGTCCTCTGAATCTTCTTAACCTCCACCAGTAGATAGACGACAGGAGAGTTCGAATTCTGTCTTTTAGATGCGCCGAATTCGGCATAGATAGTATATGACTTGAAGGAGGAGTGGGGGTGGGAGTTCGGTTCTTCTTTATTTGGAGCAGCCTGGGGCCCTCCTTCCTACCAGCTTATATAAGCTAATAACAAAACAACAACCTGCTCTATTATTAAGAGATTATTCAGTCATGACATCTGGAACATGATTAGACACCACACTTACGGGAATCCATAGCAACTTGAAGTCTGAAATGAGAACTGATGAAGGAACACCCGGTGTCTATCTACCGGCAGTTCAGAAGAATTCAATATAGATGATATTACCTTACACATAGATACTTACAAAAGGTCACTGAACACCTGAATCAGTATCTACAAGTACTGCCAGGTCTGTCCAGAGAAAGAAGATATGTAATCCAAGAAATGTATGAAAAAAAAAAGTTCCATATAAATGTAAAGTAAATTCTAAAAATTAATACTATATCCACTACGTATGTAACATAACAGAGTAGTATAATGGAAATAGTAGCTCATCAACCGTCTTATTTATTCAAGTAAATATGTCCAATAATATTCAGTCGAGTTACCTTTTTCGGTACGCTCTTTCAGATGATATTCTTGAACAAATACGATTGTATGTCCTATATACCACTCCAAAGTTCCTCTATGTGGATAAATCCCGCCAAAATATGTCAACTCAGCTAAGATTATTCTTCTCCTTCAGCATCTTAACAGCATCTTCCCGAAGCTTGAACTTCTGCACCTTGCCGCTTGCAGTCTTGGGGAAAGACCCGGATGGTTGCAAAAAGAAAACATACTTTGGAACTACGTCAATCGGTTAGCTACCTTATAGAGAATCGATAGATCATTCCGTTGATTAAATGGAATCATACCAAGATGGTTACTCAGCTTCTCACGAACCCACTGCCGGATCTTATCCTCATCCGCAGCTTCACCCTCAGGTTCCCGGTGGATAATGAACACAGCCACAGCCTCTCCATAACGCTCATCTGGCACGCCCACGGCCGAGGCATCGATCACACCGGGGTACGTCAAAAGACAGTTCTCAATCTCCAGTGGATGGATGTTTTCTCCGCCGCGGATGATGAGGTCTTTTACACGGCCGGTGATGGTGATATAGCCGTCTGGGGACATGGAGGCCTCGTCACCCGTCTAAGATCAAGAAGTCAATACCAAGTAAATGTGGTTGTCGGAGGTTTTTGGCAGTGTATGTATAGTACTCACATGCATCCAAACTTTCCCGTCATTATCAGCAACCATAACCTCTGCCGTTTTTACCGGGTCATTCCAGTACTCTTTCATTAGGAGATAGCCGCTCACTGCGAGCTCTCCGCGAGTATTGATGGGCAAAATGTTGTTGTGATCATCCAGGCTCACGACCTTTGCTTCAACATGCGGAAGCAGTCTTCCAACGGTGTTTATCCGTTTGTCGACGGGGTCGTCTGTCGTGGTCATTGCAGAAACGGGGCTTGTCTCTGTCATTCCGTAGCATATTGTGAGCTCGGTGAGATTTAGGACCTTGTGTAGTCTTTTCATCAACTCCGCGGGTATGCTACTTCCGGCTGCAATGCCGGTACGTAGGTACTGGAAGCCTTCGTTGGGGATTTCCCCTTCGTCTAGAAGACTGAGCTCTTCGATGAACATCGTGGGTACGCCGTAGAGTGCAGTGCACTTTTCTTCTTGCACGGTTCGGAGGGCTGCTTTGGCATTGAAGGCTTCTGTTGGGAATGCGATGGCTGCACCGTGGGTAGCGGTGGCCATGTATCCTAGTACGGATCCGAAGCAGTGGAATAATGGGGGCGGACAGCATACAATGTCCTCCGGAGTGAGCCGCATTCTGTCGCCGATTTGGGAGCCGTTGTTGAGAATAGATCGATGGCTTAGGCATGCTGCTTTGGGCATTGCGGTCGTTCCGGATGTGAATTGGATGTTAACTATGTCGGTTGGGGATAAGTTGCGAGGTGGTAGGGCGCTTTTGTCGGACGTTGCGTCAGAGGCAAGTGATTTGTAGGCTGTTAAGCAGTTGAAGTCGGAGGTGTTGACGCGACCGGATGAGTTGTCGACTGAGATGATGTTCTCCAGTGAGGGAACTAACTCTGACTCGATGCGGGTCTTGGAGAGGTCTGGAATCAGGTGTTGAAGAAGTTGGATATTGCTTCTTGGATCCTTTCGGGGGAGGTTTGATTCGGTGCTAATGATCAGATGGCTTGCTTCTAGATGAGCCAGGGCGGAGACTACTTGAGTCGCGTTGAATGATGGGTTGAGTGGAGCCTAATGCTGTATAAGCCTTGATCTGATGGCATACAAGCGTTTTACCTACCAGGATCGCACCCAGCTTGAACAGTGCATAGGTTGCCTGCGAATAATCTGGTTATCACAAGGTATCTGAGAAAGACTTTCACGGGCTAGCAGCATACCACAGCATGTTCCATGGAGTTCCCTAGCATGACGCCCACACGGTCTCCGGTCTGGACACCGACAGATTCAAGACCACGCGCAAGGGCATTGCTTCTGGCGTCAAGGGAAGAATATGTCGCTCGATCATTTTGTTGTTTGCAGATGACACTTATCACTGTCAGAATACCGCTCCTCCAAAGCACAAGCTCGATGGAAGAGGTAGAGCGTACGCTGGCCTATCGCCATACTGGTTGACGATCTTTGCGAAGTGGTCTCCAATCACTGTATCTAACAGTGGAGGCTGATATCATGTCAATATATTGCATCGATACCACGTTGATAAAACATGGCATGGAGCATGCTTACTTCTGTAGGACCTCGAGAATAGCTTGTCGTTAACAGTCCACGTCTTCCCGGCAATGCTGCCAACTGGAGGGGCTTCCTCACAGAGCATCTTCTGTGAAAAAGCCCTCTACAGTCTACTGAAGCAACGCGCATCTGGTTCTGTGGCAAGGTATGTTCATAGCAGTCTACCCATACACGGGTGGGGATCGTGGCGTTCGTCACCAGGATGTACCTCCCCTTGCTTCTAGCTTCACCAAAAGCTGGGTCTAGATTGGCTCAACCAGGGATTGCCGGCGGATAGCTAAGAGCACGGACTGCGCCACGCAAACGTGAAGAGTAGTGAACTCGAGCTGAAATCTAGCCTTGACAATTGGCAGAATGAAGAATGAAGAGCTGAAGAGATGGAGTAATTAAAAGGCAGCTGGAGGAATGTGGCCGGGACTCACGTGTCCTGTAGATGCGGGGTTGATGCAGGCGGCTTGCCTATTTGAGACACTAGTACCTGCAGCTCAAATATTGCGGTAACACTCAATACTCAATTGGTTTGAGTACTTTAATCTTAACTCGGCATTTTTAAGGCACTGGTTATGAAAGCTCTATCAGGGATAAAATCAAAGATGTACATGTAGCTACTTTGTACTCTTGTTCCTCAGGCCGGAACTGTTCCGATTCCCGGGCGGGGAAATGAAGCTTACTAGGATGGATCTCCAGCTTAATTTAGGGCTTCCCCTCAATTGGTTCCTGACTACTTTGGCCCGAGAATAACCGAAGCCACATTCACCCCCATTTGTCTATCTATCTATATTCTGTGCTATCAGATGTGTTGTTCTAGACTGAATAATGTAGTACTACTATTCATGGTACTTTAGGCCATTCCACACTGATTGATGAGTAATGCTCATCTCATTGTATCCGGACAGATACAAATGCATCCAACCCGATCCATATCAGGGCCCGTATCAAGATGACTTGTGCCTTAGACTGCAGCGGTCGCCACCCTTGCAGCCTGCACCCCCTTGGTAACGGACTCTTCCC